TGTTATTAACAAAGGAACTCTGTTTTAGAATAGGTTTACATTTGCAGAAAAGTTGCCAAGATAGGAGAGGGTTCTCATCTACACCCAACTTAGTTTCTCCTTTTGTGCATATCATATCAGTATGATACATTTGTTACAATCAAGGAAGTTGCTTTGGTGCATAACTATTAACTAATCCTACAGTTTACCAAGATGTCACTAGTTTTTCTCAAGTGTCCTTTTTGTTCCAGGATTCCATCCAGGATACCACATTATATTTATTCATTATGTCTTCTTAGCCTTTTCTGGTCTGTAAGAGTTTCTCATACTTTCCTTGTTTTTAATGGCCTGGACAGTTTTGAGGTGTTTTTCATCAGGTAATTTGTAAGCATCCCTCGGTGTGGTTTTGTCGGGTGTTTCTCTCATGGTTACAGTGGGGCTACGGGTTTTGAAGTATGGTTCTCATCACATCATGTCAAGGGTAGATGCTGTCGATATGGCTTCTTACTCGTGAGGTTAATCAAGATCACTCTGCCGAGGTGTGTGTTAGGTTCTTCCACTGTAAAGTCAGTCACTCCCCTTTCTTTGTTGTGCTGTTTGGAAAGAAGTCATCCTGTGTAGCCCACGTTTAAGAAGTAGGGAGCAAAGCCCCACCTCCTTGAGAGGGAGTATTTATATAAATTATTTGTAATTCTTCTGTACAGATTTACCTCTTCTCCCACATTTCCTTATTCAATGTTTATATCAGTACAGACTCATGCATATTTATCTTATATTTTGGATTATGATCTAATACATTACTTATTTTCTTGCTCAAATTGTTTCAGCTTTGGCCTTTGGGACTCTTTCAGTTGGTTCCTGTGTGGCTTTGATATACTTTTATATTTGAGCACTGGCTTACTTTCTAGCACTATGACATGCTCCAGGCTCATCTAGTATTTTCCTTGCTCCAGCTCAGGAGGCAGCCATTTCTGTAAAGAGATTGGATTCCTTTTGTTGGAGAGCACTGTTAGAACCCAAGACCTGAGTGCTTGCTGTACTCACAGGGGTATTGTTGGTCCTGGGTCCTCTGAGCAAACAGAGCTAGGAAAAACGTGTGTATACCCAGCCAAAGTACACATTGTCTGTCTGTCTATCTATCCATCCATCCACCCATCCACCCACCCACCTATCTTTCTATCTATCTATCTATCTATCTATCTATCTATCTATCTATCTATCTATCTATCTGAGCTCTTTATCTGTGTGGCCAAACAAAAGGTCATTGTGATGTTTCCAACCCTAATCTAGTACCACCTGGCTCACTCTAGCTTCCCCCTTGCTTACTTGTAACCTTTCTTTCCCAGAGTGAGAAACCTGGCTCCCGATACTCACTGCTCATTTGTTCCATTCCAGAGTATATGTATACAGTTTCAGCTCACATCCCCATGTAATGACTCACATTTTGATTTTTCTGTTCCTTTTCTCTTCCCTTCCACTAGGGATTTGATCCAACCCAATGTAAACACTTACTATCAAGAGAGTAAGAATCCCCTTTAAAAACTCAAGACAAAGATAACCCTCCGACTTCCTTAGAAGCCATTATTCTATCTCGTCTGAGATGGCTCTCAGAATCAGTTTACTCTGACCTTGTTGTCTACTTGGTTTTATGCCCAGAAATATGCCCTTGTGTATGACAACACATTTCCACAGTCATTGTGCCGGTCAAGAGGGAAGCCTCACGTAAATGTAGGATAGAAAGTTATAGCATGCCTAAGCACTGTTCTAATGCTTCTTTGCCATATGTTCTGTGCCTTTAAAGGACAAGTGGCAGAATTTTAATGGAAACACAAACTTTAATGCAAGTTTAAAATGCAGTGATAATATTATGTAAGCATCATAAATTACAAAGACACAAATAGCCTGGAAACAATATTTTAAGGGAATAAAGGTTGGTTTTGCTCATCAACTACCTCATTCAATCTTTCCATCTGTCACCTTCTGTCACTGAGGGAATGATTTGATTCTTGTTTTTCTTTGTTTTTTTTTGTTTTTGTTTTCAGGAGAAAAATAAACTATTCTTGAATGGTTCAAGTTCAAAGCAGAATTTTTATGGAGTGTCAGGGAATGGGACGTGGGTTGAGAAAAAAGAGAACTAGGATATGTGTCTGTAGCTACAATGGTGAATTTGAGATGGAAACTTAACTTCCAGTGTTTGTAATAGTCAGCCCTTCTATATTTCACAACATTAAAAATGTTCTGAATTGAGCCCTTCAGCATAAAGTCTCAATGAAGAAGAAATACCACACATTTAGTTCCTCCCTGGGTTTTCCCCGAGTCTAAGGAAGGCAATTGGACAGGAGTGGAAGTGAAATAAATAAGAATTTTACTCCATTACTCTGGCTTAGCTTCAAAATCAGTCTGTTGTACCTCTCCCTCTGCCTGTTGCATGGTGGCCAACATGGGAAGGGTAAAGTAGGTTAGGAGCCATACACAGAAGAATTGGCATTTCTGCCTGAAATTCGAGTAGGCCTCAGTAGTGGGAAGAATGGGATTTATCCATCTTGTTTGGAAGGAGTACTCATAAGGATTTAGGCATTGATGTGTACTGATTGTCTTCTTTCTTTCAGCTTAAGAGTTTCCTGCTTCTTGGTATGTCAAGTAATTTTGATCGAAACTTAGACATTTTTGTATTATGTGATAAGACTCTAAATTGTACTGAGACTTTTGTTTTAACTGGCTTTGTCTGACATCTCTCCAGTAAGTGAAGCACGGGTTGCCACCTCATTACCTCCAGGTGGAGGGGAAAATCCAGGTTCCCCCCTCGTCCTATGTTGCTCCCTGGTGGTGGCCATGGGGGTGGTGGTAACTCCTTGTTACCATCAGGCGCAGTGAGGTTTTCAGATTCCCACCTGGTCTCCACTGACGCCACAGTGGGTGGGAATGGTCTTGTTCCCACTGGGAAGTGGCCTGACACCACCCCGATATTTCGGGAAGGAAGAAGGGAGAGACGCCTCATTACTGCCAGGTAGGAACACCTGGCATCACTCTGCCATCATTCTGGGTGTTGGAACTCCTTGTTAGAGGTTCGTGAGGGTAGAACTCTAGTGTCACCCCTCAGCCTTTGCTGACATGCAGGGTTATAGTTTCTTTCGTGGCGATTGGCTGGAATAGAGTGGCTATTATTTATAAGTTTCCTGTCTTGCTAGGCTGCTCCTTTCCTGCTCCTTTGGCTTTTGTTGAGGCTTTTTTGGTCTGTGAACATTGGTGTTTCTGGGTTGGCGACCGCTTCAACTATAAGTTTGGTATATATGAGACGAAAAGAAAATCCAAGGATCTCACCTCCATGTTGTTTCTACGGGCCTGAGATCCCAGGCTGGTCTACTTGGTTTTCACCTTATGGAGTCTTCTTATGTTGGTTTTATGTGTAACACCCTGGGTTTTTTGGTTGTATTTAACAAGAAGAATGTTTAAAAATAAGTCTGCTTCATTTTCCTTTAAGAAGTCCTTCCCATTCCATTTTTGTTTTATTTGTTTTGGGGTGGTTTTTTTTTTCAATATTTTGTTAGGAAAATTTTGAAACTGAAACAATTGTACAGATAACCACCACCTATCCATCACCTAGATTGAACACATAACATTTTGCTATATTTTACTTTGTTGTATACAGGGTGGGGAAAAAGTAGGCTTACAGTTGTTTGTGTGGAAAATAATATAATATTTAATAAATTATAGTACAAGAAAAAACTGTTTCACAGACTTACAACTGTAAACCTACTCTTGCCCCATCCTGTATTTATCTGTCCATTCCATCTAACCATCCATGTACTTTTAAAGGATATCAGTGCACTTCACCCCTAAACACATCAGCATGAGTGTTATTAATTAGACTTCACTACTTAAAGGTTTTTTTTAAAGGTAAATTTCACATAAAGTGGAACGCACAATATCAGAAGTACCATTCGATTGGTTTTGTACAATCCGTCATGTACGGAGATCATTCCCATCCTCCGGAGAAGTTCCTCTTCTCCGCCTCTTCTCAATTCTTACCATCATCTCACTCCCACGAAGCAATTACTGTTCTTCTTTTTTTTCTTCTTCTTTTTCATTTTTTCTTTTTTTGGGGGGGGAGGTGGCCATAAGTTTATTTTGTCTCTTTTAGAACTTCCTATAAATAGAATGGCACAGGGTTCACATTTTGCATATTTCTTTTTTCCCCCAGCAGAATGTTTTTGAGATACAAGCATGTATGTCTCAATGGCTCTTTCTTTTAAATTGCTACGTGCTATTGCACTGCAGAAATAACACTATAGTTTATCCAATAGGGGCTGTTTCCAGTTTTTTTTGCCATTAAAATTAGATAGTTGGGGTAATATATCATCATTATCTTCCTTCTGCTTTGAACATAGTAGAAAGCGACATGGATTTTATGCCTTTCTTCTGATTAATAATACGACTAAAGTGCCTAAAGATATGTTCTCTCATACACAGTACCTACATTTTCCATGTATTTCTTCTTGGTAGTGATAGATGTCAATTATTTCAGGCTGAAAACTTTTTTGTAATAAAAGCAAAAGATAGTTTAAGTATTGTGAAAATTAGAATTTAGGTGCTTGGCGCTAAGTTTCAGTTGGTGAAGGAGAAACCATAACTATAATATTCATTACCGAAAATGCCAAACTAGCCTATGGGGAAACATCATAGTTCAGAAGTACTTAGGCTACTCTATTTCTGCACAAAATACTGACATAGCTGTTGCACATGGATGCAGCTGTCTCAGTGACCCACATTTGTCTGTGCCTACCTATTAAATAAGCCTCTTTGTTCTCTATTTCCACAAAATGATAATCGAAGGGGACTGTAATTTCTGATTGATTTACACAGATTGGTATCAGGGGAGTTCTAGGAAATGGGCAAAATAAACTTTATGTGAGGTTCCAGGAAAGTGGGTGTGCTTGCTATTAATAGTGCAGGAAGAAATAGGTGAGGTTGTTTCAAACTGGTATTACAGCTTTTCTCTGACTTTCTTTTTCTTCATGCAGTTGATGGACTGGACAAAGCTTCGGTAGCAAACTCAGATGGCCCAGCAGCAGGTTCCCAAACACCTCCTTTCAAGAGAAAAGGGAAACTCTCCACCATTGGCAAAATCTTTAAGCCTTGGAAATGGAGGAAAAAGAAGACCAGTGACAAATTTAGAGAAACCTCAGCAGGTATGAATATCAGAACTTTTTTAGAAGAGAAGATAAATTGTTAAATTCATCAAAAGGTAAAAAAAAAAAAAATTGTGACTTGCAGGTTTTTTCCCCTGGGAAAAAATTAATCCATATTTATAATGACATTATTTCACTTAAGGATGAAACCACTTCGAATTCTGATTTGCCTTCTTTTTCTAATCATTTCGGCTTTCTAAAATAGCCTTATAAATATATACTTGTAAATTCATGTAAAAAGCTGATGTGTAGGTAAGGGGAGGTAACATGGAAAACTAGAAGTAGACATGTTATTTGCCAATGTTGTAACTGCAAGAATACATGCACACACACATACACACACACAGATACATATCTATCTACTTAGTTCCAGTAGCACAATCCTGTCTGTTAACTTAAAATTTTTTAATGTCTTCTTTGAATGTATTTGTTCTGTGGGAAAAATCTGAATGGATGTATACAAGAAAAATTTTGCTACATTTATTGTTTAATTTTAAATTTCCATCACGTCTCTAGGACTGGTCTCTGTCTTAGGGGAGTTATAACCCCACTGGTGTGAACATTTTTTGTTATTTTTGTGGATTGGTTAGATCTTAAGAATGATATCGTGTAGTACCTTTTGTACGGACTCTTGGAGGAAGCTCGCCTTAAATCTCAGGCCAGAATTCAGCCCAACTTAAACAAGTTCAGTATCAGTGGTATTTTGTTAATATATTTTAAGTTTAGCTTTTTCTGTGCTTATTGTCCAAAACAGTCACTTCATCAAAATTCCTAATATTGTCGTTGTGTTTCTAGGGTCGTAGAGCATGTCTTACAGGCCGGCGCCTTTGGTTCTACAGCTGTGAAAGACGATAAAAAATATACAAGTAGCATGAGGTCACAGAACACGGGACACTAGGCTTTCCTAAAAAAAAAAAGGTTGCCGATGCATTCACAGCTATATAGTTTCTTTGAGCATTTAATATTTTAAAAGAAATTATGATATATCAGGGATTTGTTTCAAAATAATCCTGGAAAGGGGGTGAGTACTGATGAAAGAAGACTGGCCACAAGTTGGCAATTGTTTAAGCTGAGTAATGGGCATGTGGGGTTCACTATTCTCATCTCTCATAGATATTGGGAAATTTCCTTAATAAAAAGATAGAAACAGAAAAGAGACTTGGCCTAGAGGGAAATAATGATATCTTGGTTATTGAATCCCCTTTAGTTCCTAATTGGCTGCTTGGATTAAGAGGCAGTAGGAAGTAAGTGGGGTAGAGAGTGGTGTGCTGAGTGAGGGCCTCTGGGTTCTAGTAGTGTCCTTGCCACCAAGGTGCTGTGTGACCTTGAGCAAGTCAGATCAGAGTTTAATGAGTTGAGTTCTAAGGTGCTTTCAATTCCAGATTCTATTGTCAATCCTTGACTCCTTCTCAACCCTGGCTGGGCACTTGTTCGCCCTTGTTCTTCGGTTATGAGTGGGACTGCAGTGACCTTCTTAAGTGTCTCCTCTCATGGTTCCTTAAGCATTGGGAGAATATGGCTCTTCTCGTTCCCATGACTACTGAAGATGGGAGTAGGGCTCTGGACAAAAGCATTAAGGAGATACTGAGAAGAGAGGATGAAAATCTCTTCAGTTGTTTCTCTAGCTCTTTACCTAAATCTGGGCTGCTAATGCTCCCTCTCTTGAAGTAGGAAAGACAGCGACAAAGAAATATCTCCTTCATCTCTCCTTGTCACCTCTGTTTAATTACTTTGACAGTAGGGAGGCTATAACATATTTCCACCAACTCTGAATATTCAAGAAAAGTGATTGTAAACAGCCGTAAGTGTTATTTTACGTATCCCATATTTTCTGAGGATAGCCTGGCCTTCTTCGTATTCTCTTTCCTTTTTAAACTCACGCAGGAGTTTAGTCCTGACTGGTGTGGCTCAGTTGGTTGGGCATCATACCGCAAAGCGAATGGTGGCCAGTTCAGGACTAGTGCCTGGGTTGTGGGTTGTCCCCGGATGGGGCGGATGTGAGAGGCCACCAATCGATGTTCCCCTCTCACACCACTGTTTCATTCCCTCTCTTCCTCCCTCCTTTCCCCTCTCTCTAAAAATAAATAAATAAAATATTTTAAAAATTCACACAGGATCTTGTATAATTTTAGCTCCAAGAAGTTTTTGGTGGATACCATATCCTTAGTTCCTAAAGACTACCAAACTACATTAAAAACCTGAAAAAGTCATTAGATGACTCATTGTTTTTTTAAATCAAAATTGTGACAGAATAAAAACGAGCCACGTAGATGTGTTAACAATTCTTTGTGAATTTGCCTCCTACATTTACTTGCACATTTTTTTAAACCCACATTATTACTAATGTTTTACTTGAATTTTATAAGAGGTTATCAAGTGTCCCATTATAAAGTATTTTATCATCACCTTCAATGTATGTTTATTTTAAGGCTTAAATTCCTGCTGAGCTTTGGAATGTATAAGTAAAGCCTAAAATAAAGGGTAGCACAAAATGGTAGGTCATATTCTTTTTTCACATCGAAGAAAGATGTCACATGCAGAGAAAAATCGATGTGGTTGGAAATAACCAAGAGAAAGGCATTTTCTTCTTTTCATAAATTATGTCAGAAACAAGGAAATCTAGCTGTTTGGATATGACCAAGGTCATGTGCTATCTGGCAAACTATAAAGTATACCTTAGGCAACACCCACAATATCTTGGGATATGAAAGAAGATGAATTCCTTCCAAGAAAAGTAATTCTTCTATGTTTTTCCTTCTCTTAAACTCCTGGTTTTAAATCACAAGGACATGAATCTTTCTCTGTTCCTCTACACAGTGATTAATACCACTTTTCCTAGCCTGGACTTCTGCTGTAGGAATTTTTCATCGGTAGTAGATGGGATGCAATGCTGATTTATAGATGCCATTGTAATAAATGCCGTTGTAATCACATGTTTACTGTGGTGGTAGGAGGCAGGAAGGATCCTGTCCTCAGCCAACTGTGGTGGTCTTTGGGTCAGCTATATTTTGGAAAGTCGTCTTGTCCTGTAAGGTGGGCTGGGCCTGAGCCCCAACCTCCAGTTCCCTGGCCTTGTTTTAAGCAGAAAAATTACCTGTATTCTCACCTCTGGTTTAGGCTGGTCTGTAGGCTGCTAGGCCCTAGGGCAGGAGAATAGGCCCCTCTTCCATTCACTTTCCCCAGTGCCTCTCATCTTTACTTTTCCTGAGTGAGAGGGCCACCTAATCTCTAGATTGTGCCCTTCTCTCTCTAGAACACAAAATGTCATCTATACTCTTTTTTCCTACATAATCATTTCTTTCTTTTGGGGTGGGGGGGATGGGAGGTAGGGGAAGACTCCTCTCTCTGGATCTTTAAATATGCTTTCATCTCCCCAAGACTAAGAATACAAACCCCATCTCCACACAGATGTTCCTCTAACTTCTGCATAGACTGCTACTCTCCAGACCAAATGCCCTGAAAACCCAGCCTGTATCTGCTCCCACTTTCTCCCCACATTCTCCTTCCGCTTCCCACTGTAGTCACCCCAGCACCCAGCACTGCCCTAGGGTTACCCCAAGCCTCCTAATCATGAATTTAGTATGACTCCCTCATGTTCATCCATTCCAACCTCTACATTCGCCATTACTGATGAGTTCTTTCGTGATTTATAGAAAGTGTCACTGTCTTGGCTGTCTTTGACTTTTCTTGCTCTCTTTTGCCCCTTCTCATCTCCCCTGAATCTGTGAGGCGGGGTTGCTACATGTCTTAGCCCTTCTCATCCTTTGACTGTGTCTTTCCTCATCGCACTCTATTTTCTTAGTAGCCACGTCCCTTCAACCCCAGTTCCAGCTGAGGCCCAGGTACTTCTCCCCAAGCACCTGCTGGACAGCACTGCCTGAGGACTGCGTGTCCACACAAAATCCATTCCCACGGCCTGCGTATTTCTACACTGAGCATATGGTACGTGCCAGGCACTGTGCTCAAGCTGGGCCCTCTGAAGCAAATAAGCGAGCAAGGGTCCTGCTCTTGCGAAGCTTTCATTCTAGAGAGGCAAGCTACTGATCAATGCTATGAATGAGCATGGAGAGTGAGGGACGTGGGAACAGGAAGTACTGTGTACAAACATGTTCCAAACTAAAACAGATCCCTTGCCAACCCCAGCTATCCTGGCCATTGCAGGTGTGGCTTTGTGTGGCATCCAGATGTTGAACCATGGAGTTCTTTGACTTCTCCCTGCCTGCTACCATCATCCTATTCGGCTAGTTCCAAAAACCACTTATTTGTTTCCTCCTAGTTAGAGGGTCTCTAATGTCACCCATTCCTCTCAATCCCCTTTGTCTTGTCTTCCTCACTCTCTGTCCAATTATTGCAGGTAGCCTCTGTGCTGTACTTAGTCATTAGCTGTACTCGCTGTAGAAAGCTATGGAATGCTAGAGAAGGCAGAAGGGGCTGGGTCCTGACAGGAAGCCCACGAGGAGGACCTGACCCAGCTGGTGAAGCTGACAGAGAGGATTCCGGATGGCTGTCAGGAACCGCAGAGTAAGCAAGATGATACTTTTCCAAGTTTCAGGCCAGGCAAGTAGCACAGTGGGTACCTCGCACCAAAATGGCACATGTTCCAGCAGGTCGGGTAGAATGACAGAACATCCAGAGGCGTGAGGTGGGGAAGTCCCAGCAGGCCTTTGTGGCCGGGGCATTCTTTCCACACTTGGCAGTGTTCTTGGGCAGATGGGGATGGGCATACGGAAGCAGAAAGATTCTGATAGGGCCCCCATTCTTTGTGTTTTTTAGGAACTAGGACAGGAAGTTACCAAAGGATTCAGGACAGAAACTCCCTCTAGAAAGTGGAACACAGAATGGTCTCGGGAGTAGCCTCCCCTGACCCCACCCTCAGGGCTGGGAGCTCCTGTTGTTCGCATGTCACAGCCCAGGACCTGGGAGGGAGGCGTGAGCAGAGGTTGCAGGGACTGGGGGAAACAGGTAGGCACAGCACCCACCTCTCCCCTCTCCCCTCCAGA